TGAACTGCAGATAACAGTCAGCTGAAGTGGCCTGCAGTACTGCACCCTAACCACTGCGCCACCTCGGCTCTTTTATAATAACAACATTAAGCATAATAATCCTCATCATCATAATACTAACAATGATCATATTGTTTACATCTCTATCTTAACATATTTTCTACTCTTGGTCAGATTTGGGTTCCTAATAGCATCCGAAAGTAAATCAGAGTCCGAGGGAAAGGATTCCTCAATTTATTAAGAGAGCCATGTTGGCACATTTGGGAAAACCCGAATCTGAAAGCTTCCCGGTTTTCCCCACCCAGTTAAAAGTTCAAGATCTTGCCCCCACACCCAACAAGTCCACCCCATGGTCCAATCTCCCACTGCCATGCTGGCAGCTTCCACCCATCCAGTTCCAGTCAGGTGCAGAGACCTTGACTTTCTAAGAAGAATGTTGTTATGGCTACACATCACCCAACTCCAAATAATCCCTCCCCTCCCATTTTCCCACAGTAGAAAGTGTGGCAGGCCTGAAACCTAAGAAGAAAAGTTGTTTCACCGACAAAACCGCGCCCGACTAAACTACGGTGACAAAACCGCGAGTTCTAAACCGCGTCGACGAATGAGCGCTGAATCGCACCAACAACAGTGCGCCGACAGAAGCGGGCTGTAAACCTAAACCTAACCCTAAACCTAACGCTAACCCTAACCTTAACTTAAATCGCGCTTCCGTCGACGCGCTGTTGTCGGCGCGTTGATGATGTCACGGTTTTAGCGACGCGGTTTTATCGGCGCGCATTTGTCGGGTCACGGAAGATAGCTTGGAGGTCTGACACTCTTTTTCAACCTCCATTTTTATTCTCTAACCATTGATAAAATAATTCCCATTATCAAATAATATTCCGTTAGTTCTTTTTCCTTAATCGCCAGCATTTATCTGTTCGTTTCTGCACGTTCTAATATTTTCCTAATCACCTTTTCATCGGCAGGGATCTCTTCCCTTTCCCAATGTTGTGCAAGTACAATTCTAGCTTGCTGTTAATGCATGAATAATTAAATACATTTAACCTAGGCCACTTCCGGGTGGACTTCCAACTCCCAGAATCCCCCAGCCCCGTTCCCCTGTCTCGGACCTACCCGAATGTTGTCATCATTCATGCTGGTTTTCTCCCCTTTCCAGTTCAAGCACAGGCTGAAGACGGGCGGGATGGAGGAATATCCGGGGTTCAACACTACGGAGGCCTGGAGCTTGGCTGCAGCCGAGATGGAAGCAAGAACTCTGTTTAGCAAGGATGCCTCTTTGACACACAACTACACTTTCCAGCAGAAACAAACCAACAAGTATCTGCTATCCCAAAGCTCGGAGGAGACCCTGCTGGTGTTCTCACTGAAGTTGGCGAGAATGAAATTGGGGGGGGGGGGGGTTGCAGATTTGTTGGAGGGGGTTGAAATTTTTAAGAGAGGTTGTGCTCCCACAACCTCCCAGGAATCTGTACACTCGGGAATCTCAGCTCAGCCCCCAGTCTTTTTTTTAAAAAACCATATTTTTATTTCCATTTTCATAACATACAATCACATGTATACTATACATAGCCA